TTTGTTTGATGATCTTAGTGCTGATTTATCTTTTCAGCTTGTTTTGTGAGTGTGAGTCTTAAGTGTGTGTGTGTGTGTGTCTGTGTCTGTGTGATGTCTGTGTGTGTGTGTGTACGTGTGTGTCTGTGAGAGCTGCTCCTTACTGAACTTGATTCTCTCTTGAAGTCATGTTTAGTCCACATAACGGTTTCAGTGAACCATGCACTGCCCAAACACATTCAGACTTGCTAAACCAAAACAAGGCAAAGCTTCAGATAAACCTGCATAAGGTTACTCTACATTTACACTTTGCTGTTTGAATGCTTTGCCTTGCAGTGTCACACCTAAGAGGATATTCAGTTTTACTAAGTTTCACCAGGCCTTTGCATGTAAGTCGTCATCATGTTCAGTCATCTGATGAGAAAAATCAGCCATGGCATATTGTCAGACTCATGGTAAAAGCCCTCGTACGGCCCACTTTGATCTCAAGGGTGCAGAACCAGAAAAACTCCCCTTTGTGTCAGTGTGAACAGTATGACTCGTGCAGTTTAACTGCATGATGTAGAAATACTGCTGCAGTAATGAAAGAACATGTCTGCTCAAATGTAAAAACAATTAAAAGGTTATGGTACTGATTACAACAAAAAGAGAGTCATAACTCATGTTATTTCAAAAAACCGAAGATCTGAATATATAGCAAAAAACAAAACAAAAACTGTTAAAGAGAAAATACACATATAATTTTCAGTATACTCCACAGCAGTATACTGAATTTGTACATCACTTATTCTACAGTTGTGCAGCAGGCCAGATTAGAGTCTCTGCTGGGCCGATTGTGGCCCTCCGGCCATAGGTTTGACACTCCTGCCCTAGAACATGCTGTCCAAACATCTTCCTTTTTTCGCTGTCTTGTCTTTTCTATGTGTTGACAATACCACATGTAACGATCGTACGGCGTTTTGTCAGTTTTCAACCAGTGAATCATTAATTTGACCTTAAACACTTTGGTGGATGTGAGCAATCATTAAGTCATTTACTCCGAAAATACAAAGAGAAAAAATATGCAGTGATTTGTGTTAAATAGTAATAAATTTATACATGCTGACGTAACACTTGCCGAACAATTGGTCTTCTTTGTATCCGCATTAGAAAATGTTTGTGTGGAGAGTGAAAGGGTTTGTTTCATTAGTAGATTCTGAGAGGTGATTGGACGCATTTCCGATTTTTATTTAACGAAAAGATAAATGTAAATATACGTCTACAAATATTAAAATGAACCCAAGAAGCACGGTGGCCTAAAAATGTATTCATGTGTATTGTTTAATGATATCATGCGTTTGACGTTTATAAAATGGATTCTAATAGGAAAAGAAGGTGAACCGGGCTTCATATAATTTATTTTCATTTGTCAAACTGTAACGGAGCGGAAAGGCTGATTTTATTTCCAAGATGTGGGTTTTGTGTTTTTAAAAGGAAGGAAACCTTCCTCAAAACGGGCAGAGCAGTGGAGCCGCCGAGGGAAAGCACACAATTTAAAACTGTATGATTAAAAATATAATTTATTATATTTAAATAGTTAAAAATGTAAAATGAATTAAAATAACCTTGGCCAAGGGATAACACAATAAAAATCAATAAAACACAACATTAAAAGTCCAGTGGCATCCGCCACGACCTAAGAGTCCCAGAGAGTTAAGAAATCCAGCGAAGTAAAAGGGAAACCCAGCGGAGCCCTCTCCTTCCTTTCCACATTCGCGTCTTGATATGCTGAAGAAAAGGAGGAGCGGCAGTCACTATTCTTCCAGGCAGTTTTTATTCAATAAAAGGGGATAAGTCGAAGACTTACCCCGGGTGGGCAGAGCTCTCAACTCCGCCCGCCGCTTCTTTAAAACTGCAAATCGGCACCAGCTGTCTCGCCGCCTCTGCTCTCCCGCAGTGCACAAGCTGGGCTCTCGTTGCTACTGCCGTCCGCCTGTTCACTCCACGTCCCTAGTCGCTGGTCACCTCCTCTCAAACGCCAACTCCAACCCTCTTATGTGTCATTGAGCACTCTGTAAATTACCTTGCCTTTCCTCTCAGGTGTGTCCAATTAGTAAAAACGGGGGAAAGGGCGGAGTCTCTCCAGGACAATTTGACGGTAACTAAAACATGCAAACTAAATAAAACACTGCACAAAATATAACCAATACATGCAATATAAAAAATAAATAAGTACACTTCACATTAAAATACAGCACAGCAAAACAACATCCGTCCTTCCCTGGATGACAAAACCACGTGTTTCCGTCTGGAAGGAGGAACTCTTAACCTAAGCCGAGGCCTGATGGAGCAGGCAAACCACGAAGTGTCCGTGAAAAACTTCACCGTGAACATATGGAGGCCTGTGAGGCCTGAAGGCACTGAAGGTGAACATGTATCACCTCACTCAGGCAGTGGTGTAAGCACACTGTTTATTTAATCACACACAGCTGAAGCAAGATATTACAAAAAAAAGGAAATTAAGACAATAAATGAAAGCTTTGATCGGTGTAAAATGCATAATAATAATTATAAGCTGCACACATAAATAAGCTGAAGCGCATTAATAAGTTAAAGGTTGCCAGGTATTGATCCTAAAAGTCTTCAGACGTCTGCCTGGGACGTATTTGATGGATTGTGGCCATTCATCTGCAGAGGAGGGCGATGGCTCAGAGGCTCCGACGCCCCATTTACATCATGGTGTTCATCTCTGGGTCCAAAGCGTCGGAGAAGACGTGACAAGTACGTGGAGCAGTGACATTTCATCAGCCATCCACACACAAGGCCGCAAACCAAAAAGACCACAGCTGTGATGCAGACAGCGGCCAGAGTTCCCAGTCCGCTTACTTCTGAAGTCGTCTGTGTTGGCTGCAGAGGATACAAGAGCAGAAATGCGATCAGATTCATGGAACTTTATATGAAGCGGTTTCAGGTCTGAGTAACGCGTTTCTGTCTAAATACTCACACACACCGATGTAGGGGGAGGAGTGCTGGTGGTCTGATCCGGGCTTCTCTCACTGACCTTCAGCCTCACAGCAGCTGGTGTCCCTCTCTGTTCCGCTCTACCTTCTTTTTGGATGTAACAGAAATAATCCCCCTGATCTTCCCTCCGAGCCCGCTGCAGGTTTAAGGACAGGTCTCCGTGTGAGAGCCAATCAGCTGACAGAGACAGTCGACTATCAGCAGCCCACTTACTGTTACCACCGCACGAGTCTCTCCTTAACACATCGTCCCCGTCTTTAACCCAGCGCACAGACCAGCAGGTGCCATCTATAGTTGGATAGTAGCAGGACAGGCTGCGCGCTTCTCCCTCTGTGACGGATGATTCTGAGAACACGAAAACTTCCACCTGGACCTCAGACACCACCCTACGTCCGCACACGAACACATAAACTCCGCTGTCAGTGTAAACTGCGCGGTTAAAGACGACAGAGGAGTTGGGACTGATGCGATCTCCGAAACCTTTCTCTGGTCTCCAAACTCCGTTTAAGCGCGCAGCGACATCCCGGGACTCAGGCTCTGTTTGGCGAAGTTTTTCCTCTACATTAGTCGGACAGTTTCCACGAAGAATAAACGAGTCTCCTAACATCACTTTCACATATCGTATACCCTCCGCACCCAAAACATTCACGAAAAAGAGCGCAGATAATAACAGCTGAAAGAGCTCCATGCCGACCGCCCCTAGCAGGAACCCGCTGTGCTCTGAACAACAAGAGGCTAATTTTAGGTCAAGCAATGTTTCCAACTTCCGTCTACTCCTCGAAATTAAGTGCTTATTAAGTGCTTTTCTAAATCAGCTAGCCTCACCCTGACAACACACTAACCGTACCTCTGTGACATTGAGTCTTTGAGTCTCCAGCACAGTGTTGCTGCATTTAAAGCACAATGTTAAACTAGGACTGGTCCAAAAGCAAAGCCTTTATTTAACTCATTATCTTTTATTTTGAAAATATTGAGCGGATGTTGAGCGGATGTGACAGGGCTTGACCTTGTTTTCTCCAGTCATTGAACCAGACAAGTCGCGTGCAGGCTCTGTTCGCTTCGCACTTCAGTTTGCTGCATTCTTTTGCACATGCAAAATTCTTCACAACTACTCCATCATTCCAATGTGCCGCTAACACCGTGACTTTATAGTGAGGAAGAGGAGTTATTCGGCATGAGATTAAAAACACGTCAGCAGCTGAAAAATAACGCTCCCCGTTTAATCACTGAAATTACATTTTGTTCTGTCATCAGTTTATGTGTTTTATACAAAGAGAACTACAGTTATTAAAAATCATGCATTCTGCATGAACCTGTAGTTTTTACCATTGAAAAGAAATTATTTACTCTCGATCTAGTGACTTAAAAAACTGAGTTTATCCTTAATGCTGAGTATAATAGGCCCTCATTAATAAACAGAGGCAGGAGGCTGATCTTAGTGCAACAGCACCTCTCGCTGGCCTGTACAAATCATTTTACTTGGCTCAACCCGAGGCCTTTCAGGCCATTAACTCCAAACAGTTCATTTGAGTATTTTAAATGTTTTTACGTAGTTTGTGCTGCAGTAAAAGTGGAAAGTGTATGTTTCAGTTTTTAATGTGTGTATCGCACATGTCTAGCATTCATTTCATTGTTTAGGGGAATACCTTTAGTAATGAATGACACTGACAGAAAGGGTTTTTTATTTTCAAAAAAGAAGAAGACAGATTTAAATAGCTCTGTTATTATCATTTTGACTTTCCGATCAATCTGAATGGTCAGATGGGACAAGCTCCGCCTACACAAGTCGTGTGTCGGCAGCCGCCTCCCTGCCAACATCAGCGAGTATGGTTGACTGCATTCTTTTTACACACTCTAACAGAGGTTAACACATCATTTCTAATACAAAAACATCCTTAGACGGTTTCGTATTTCACAAACATTTGATCTACTGCCTTTGCAAGAGTTTGATTTGTTCTATGAACCGTGTGTTTGCCCATATATGTGAAAATTGGATTATTTATAATGTAGCTGCTGGAATCTGTTAAGAGTTATGTAGAGCATTTTCTTTAACTCTTTACACATCAGCACAAATATCAGTATTGTAAATTTCCCTGCTATGAGATAAGATAAGATAAGATAAGATAAGATAAGATAAGATAAGATAAGATAAGATAAGATAAGATAAGATAAGATAACCTTTATTAGTCCCACAAGTGGGAAATTTGTTCTGTTACAGGAGAAAGTGGACAGTGCAAAGTCACATGGCAAAAATGAGAAAGAAACTGGAATAGGATAAGATAAAAAGAATAAGATACTGTACACAATAGGATAAAATAGAATAGAATAAAATACTATATACAATAGAATAAAAATACAACCGAGTAAAATACAACGTTGTCAAAAAACATGTGTGGATGTGTGTGTTTGGTCAGCTGGGAAGTCTTTGTTGTACAGTCTGACAGCAGTGGGGAGGAAAGACCTGCAAAATCTCTCCATCCTGCATCGTGGGAGCCGCAGCCTTCCCCTGAAGGAGCTGCTCGGTGCTGTCATAGTCTCCTGCATGGGGTGGGAGATGTTGTCCAGCTGGGATGACAGATTAGCCACCATTCTCCTGTCACTCATCAGCTCCACTGGGTCCAGAGGGCCTAGAACAGAGCTGGCCCTCTGGATCAGCCTGTTCAGTCTCTTCCTGTCCCCTGCAGGGATGCTGCCACTCCTGCAGACCACATTGTAAAAGATGGCTAAGGCCACCACAGAGTCATAGAAGATCTTCAGGAGGTTGAGGTTGCATCCACACCTGAGGGAGCAGCTTCACCACCAGTTGAGTCTAAATAAAGAGACACTCAGCTGTTGTGTGCAGATTTGAAAATAAATACTGAATTTATTAAAAAAAAAAAAAAGATATAAAAATAGGAGCCTGGAGCCTACCCCGGCTGTCTTAGGGTAAGAGGCAGGATACACCCTGCACAGGTCGCCAGTCTGTCACCGGGCTAACACATAGAGACAAACCAATCGGATCGAAATTGTGTTGATATCTGGTGAACACAGTAACCGGGTCACTGCAGTAGTTTTCAATGCAAGACACCCTACGAGACCACCCATCTCCCATGCTACAGTTAGCAAACTGCTTGCTA